AGAAGGCCACCAGCAGCAGGACGGGTCCAATTATGATCGGCGGGTTGGCAGAAGGCACCAGTGTGCTGAAGGCGAATGCTCCCACCAGGGTGATGTTGAGTCCTGCCAACATGATGCATAGTCCACAGGCACAGCAGAGCGCCGGAGAGGGAAGGCCATGAGGACGAGACTTCCTCTTCTTGGGCTCCTTTTTAGGCACAGAGGTGCTGTTACTTCTGTCAGTGACGACCATGTTGTTACCTCCGGGACTTTTTTTTGTCTATCTTCTATCTTTATGGGCAAAGAATAAAAACATTAATAGACTTCAGCACTGACTTTAACACAGCACTGACTTTAACCTGAGCTCATACTTTGATATAACCACTGCGGTGTCCTTCCTGGGAGTTTATTTTATGCATCACTGACCACTAATCATTCATTGCTGCGTTGTCCTGCAGAAGTGCTCATACACCGTGAACATTTCCACATTATAGCAAGGAACAACCGCACACTTTGGTGTATTTTACTGTGATTATATGTGATACACCATTGAAGAGTTGTATGTGATTATAAACTGGAAGAAAAATTATGCAGTATTTTCTTTCTTTCTTTTTTACAACTTAAAATCTTAAACATATGTCATGAATTTGTATTTATCCCTCCTGAGTAAATGCTTTGTAGAACCACCTGTTGGCCACTTGACTGCTTCTAAATAATGCTCTCCTCCTTAGATATCCACAGTTTTGAGTATCTAAGACCTTTTTAGTTTGCATTCTAAAAAGGTCACTAGTTTTCTCTAAGAAAACTGAAGTATTTGTAACTGTAGTTGACTAATTAGGTGACCACTGAAGGTATTTGATGGCACTACATTTTATCTAGGGGTATAAAATAATGAAAAATGTTGAATTTTCATTGTTCTGTAAAAAAAAAAAATAGAACAAAAATTGAGAATCCTTTTTAAAAATGTTTCCCTCTTCACAGCTACATGCAAAATGATTTAGCCCAACACAAGCTCAGTAAAAGATGCTGAAGATTTTTTTGTTGTTGTTTTTTTTGTGATGTTCAAGGAGTCTGATCACTTTTGCTAAGTACTGTAAACGCACATGTAGTAAAAAAAAAAAAAACCTTGTAACTCAAGCGATGCAAGCAGGAAACAGTGACCTCTGTGTTCTTCATATCAGTGACTGGCACTTAAACTGTATTGCTGACATCCAGATAATGGCACATAATCTGAAAGAAAGCCTTCTAATACAATCCTGAAATCACAAACCAATCTCCAAGATGTTCTCAGTAAAAGTCAAGTGTTAAATATCTATTCTACAATTTAACTGATGGATTTCAAAGACATACAAATTAATTGAGATAGACAAATAGCAAATGTGTTGAAGTAAATAAAAGCATGTAATTGTTAAATTCTCACAAAAAAACATGCTTTCTTCTCTGCTGCTTCACAACGCGAATGTCTGACAAGCACTGATGTGTATTTGCTCTGGATCAGAGAACTTAAATATGATCAGAAGTGGAGCTGCTTCTTCGGGCCAGAAAGGCCTTTGGTACACATTTGCTATCAAATAATTTTCCATTTCAAATGTATTCCAGTTTGCATGTATTCGGCATGTTCGCGCTAAGAAGAGCATCTTGCATATCTTGTGCAAGTGTGAATTAGATTTTGTCAGAATGCATGTCCCAAGCATTAGGACATGCTGATTCTATGTGAAAAAAACAACAACAAACAAACAAACAAATCTGAATAAATCCTCACCCATTACGTCGACCCAGTAAAGGTGCTTCCATTGTTACTCCATTCGATTTTCACGGTGATCCCCCGTTTCATAGTCGCATGTAATTACTGACTCTCTAAAAGGCTGCATCAACAACAAACGGATATTGTCCATCCTTCTTTCGTTGCTCTTTTTTCCCCCCTTTTCAATCCCGCGCTGCACAAGTCATGAGAGAAATTCAATCAGTGACACGGGGAACATCAGACAAAGCTGTCGGGGTGTCCAATCCGGCAGGAGATGATTTAGGTGAGACGCCAGTTCTTTTGAGCTCCAGATGTGGACCGGAGGAGAGATGCTTGTGGCGCCTGACAGGTCACGTAAATGGCGGATCCACACAGTGTATCCGAAGCATCTTCCTCTCTGACTGGGTTCAGGATTCATGTTTCCTTAATTCATATCTGATGAGCGCCGCGCAGAGCTCATGCCCTCCTCCCCTGTGGACCGCTGGATGCGATGAGCTGGTCTCCACGTCAGCGATCCATCCGTCAGGGGGTCGTTGTATGGCAAGCTGATTTACCACGTAATTAGAAAAATTTAAAAAAGGGTTTAATTTATCGTTCTTGTCAAACCCTATGTTTAAGAATCTAGAATGTCTTTGTTGTTGTCATTAGTTAAAATTTGTGTTGCATCCAATTTCTTTCATTTCAACAATGAAGAACTTACATTTTCACCTCTTCGCGTTGACATGCATTAAAATGGCAATGGCAAATTTGTGAGCAGATTGTTCGGGATTTTTGAAGACTTTCTGTGAAAAGCTTTTACCATTAAATACTTTTTTTACACGTATTTAAGTTGATAGCTATTCCAAAAAAGTCAAGACAAAGGCAGACATCTACAATCTCAAGAAATCATATTAAGTTTTGTGAGTGTGATTTTATGCAGCGCAAAACGTCACTGCATAATAGATTAATTAATTAATTAGATGCCTGCCAATGATTATTTACACGGAAATGGAGATTGGAGTCTGTGCACCACCAGTAATCTTCCTGTGTGAAACAAGTACTGAAAACAAAACAAACATCTCTAGTCTGAGTAGCTATCAAATGAAAAAGCAAAGCACTACAGCAATCAGTAAAATACTGATCATTTAAACCACTTTAATTGTATTCTATGTGACTATTACCCAGCTTTACTTTTTTTTAACCATTTCCTGGAGGTCTAAAATAATTGTTGTTTGCCTGATTGCATGTTTACACTAATGCGGAAATTTGATCTCTAAATATATAAAGTATGTGTTTTTATTTTACATCTCCAAAATTAAACCCACCAGTAACAATGGGATCATACTTATCTGAAATGTGTTGCTTATAAACTGTTACTTTCTTAAGTTCAGTTGCAAAATGTTTAGCTTAAGACCACACTATGTTTTTTGGAGCTCATAGTCTAAACATAAATGGGAAAATTGACATTCTTTGTCATAGATTTGAGGTATCTAATATGTACAAAAGAAAGAGTACATCTTTGAGTATTTCAACTTCTTGAAAAGCGGAAATACATAAACTTTTAGCAAATAAATATTAAAAAAAGGTTTTCGACAGGTAAGTTCCAGAGACCTATCAGTTGATATATCCCGTTTACAGAAAGAATGATATAATTTAATAGTAAGGTTCTCTATATGATGTAAGTTCAAGTGAATAACATGAACAATCACAAGCCTTCATTTCAATATCTGTTTAATGAAACCTGGCAATGACTTAAAGAGTCATAAAATGACATTCCCTTAAAGCACTATGTGATTTTTGGAATCAGATAACTTTTTATGCAGCAGAAGTCTACTTTGGAACTTGAATAAGTATTTGGATTCAGGCTCTGAGACCCATTAATATGGTTTTATACAAAATAAAGAAAAGGTTTATTTCAAACAAGTCGATGTCTCTTTATGGGTTTTAAACAGAATCTAATTTGAAAAACTTATCCGGAGGATTATTTAATCATAGATGATTTTCCGTATCCCACTCATCATGAAGTGGGACTGAATGAAGATAAAGACTGTTGAAGCATGTTCTTGTCAGCTTGCCTTTATTCGATGTGTGTCCAATACGCTTGATTTAGATCTCGTGCATGAAATTTAAATCTCTTGGAAGATTTTCTTGAAAGTGGAATGTGATTAAATGCGCAATAAAACATCTGCTGCTGCTCAAAGACCAGCTTGCACAGAAATGGAGGAGGAAGGCGAAGTGAGATGCTTTCCTGTGAATTTTTAGATAACGTTTCAAAATTACATTTGAAAAGTATTTATTGCAAGCGTGTCAGTACAAAATAACTTCATTCAGAGGTTAATTACTTGAAGAATCCCAATGATTATGAAGAGATGCGTGATATTAATGTCACACAAAGAAAAAGGATTGAACATAATATTAAGTTAAATCGAATTTATTAATAAGCCAATATGCTCCAGGACAACTAATTCAATTTTTATATAAATCTAACAATATGTTTTTAGTCCAGACAGTCTCAGATTTCTGAAAATAAAATAACAATGAAAAGAAAAAAGAAAAGTTAGTTTAACCTGATAAAATGCTTTGTATTTACAGGGGTCTGTTTTGGTATATTTTAGTAATTACCATACAACACTACGCTGACATGCCTGTCAATTGATTGAACAAAGCCCTGAATACGGTAATGTTCGGTGACGCAGAAGGATTGCATGGCGAGGGATTCTTGTTTGAAGTCTGACAATAAAGCTGCTGGCAGCCATGAAGACACTGCTGAATCCTCAAGTACCTTTGGTTAAGCCTAATCAGCACGACTCTCCATCATTCATCCTCACTGCATGCTATGTTTTATTGTGAGACTGCAGCCTTCCTACCATCGCCACCTTCCAAGCAGCAGCTGTTCTCCCTGCGTCGTCCTGAATATGTTCATTATGTTGCACGGTGGGGAGCAGGTCACCATGTGAACGTAATGCATGCCACTGTTTGTGACAACACATGCATTTGCTTTGCCTTTATGAGGAACTAACCTTTAATGTAATTCTACTCTTAACATCACGCAAGCCCCTCCAACTGAGCTTCACCTCCATCACAGGTTGGATTTGGTTTTTGTAGGTTTATTAGACCACATAATTTATATATATATATATATATATATATATATATATATATATATATATATATATATATATTATATATATATATATATATATATATATATATATATATATAATATATATAAGTGAACAGTAATCTGCTGTTGAGCTTTAACAACAGTTGTACAAAGAATACTGCTGCAGGAGAGAGTTGTTGGTGGAGTCATGTGACATGATGACATCACGGAAGGTCTTGAGCAGTGGGAGACTGTTTCATTTTCCTTCTCGATAAGACATCTGGCATGTCTGAAGAAGTCCTGCAACAGACCAATGCATGAGTCATGCTGGCAATGAAGGCTATGTAGTGGGTGTCAGTGTGTGACAGAACTGAAAAAGAGAAAAAGAGAAAAAAAAAAGACACATAAAGAAAAAACATATCAGAAGATTGGGTTGTTCTTCACATGTTCATTTTCAGTGGACTTGTTGATATTCAGAGAAATGAAAAATTATTGAGCATTGGTCTATGGCACCTATATGTTTCACTCAGTCAGGTGTTATTTTAACATAGCTAGTACAGCTTTTTTATCCTAACATGTTAAATAAAATATAAATAATGAGACTGGCCTCATTATTTATATGTAAACTACTGATGTTTGAAACATTTATGTCCTAAATGCAAAACAAACACATTGTTAAGGACATCTATCCAGAGTCTCCTAACAGATATTTATTTCTCAAGGTACTTTTGCCTTCATTTTCATCCTCAAAACACTTCCACGTCAGTTAATGGGTCCATCAGGACACCGGTGTCCTGATGGCAGTTAAAGGGTTAAAGACATCTTATTTTAGTTCTGTTGAATTAATTAAAATTAACAGCATCTTAAGCCTTAAAGAAAGTCTGTAAGTATTTGCAAATGTGTGATGTGCAAAGAGCATGTTTCTTTAACAGGTCTCTATAGACATTTAACGGCTGTGTTATTAGGTGCATCTGTCCAAGTGCTTGTTAGCAAAAATAGCAAATCAGCCAGTCGCCTGGCAGCAACTAGCTGCATTAAAACATCCAGATATTGTGAAGAAAACTTTCTGAAGTTCAAACTGTGCAACAGAAGGAAGGAGAATTGTGATTTTAGTGACTTTGAATAAAGCATTCAGTCACTGGGACTCTGAACGTTGCTGGGAGAGTATTTCAAAGCCTGCTGATACAAGACCATTTCTATGATTTTATGAGAACCAAGTATTACAAAGTTGTACCTAGTAGAGCCAGTAGAAGCATGTTTACTTTATATTCAATTCGGTTAATCTTATTTCTATTTTCAGTTCGTACCCCTCCTCTGGATTGGGCTCAGCAGCAGGTCCTCCCTCTACAAAGGTTCCCATTCGACTCTTTGAGCGCTCCAGTTGGAGTTGACTCTGAGTGCCTAACAGGACCACAGGAAAGCAGACAGAACACGATGCAGTACTGAGTTTAGTATCATATGCCGCTACAGCTGAATTGCACCATAGATTATTTGACAGAACATGTACAAATTTTACTGAACAAATTTTACCGCACAAAAGCGGTAAAATTTTGGCTACCACACAATTTACCATATACATAAGGATTAAATTGAACACTAGTTGACTCTAATTAGGGAAATTATGAAGGCAGTGGATTGCACTGGAGTTTACTTAGGAACTTGGAGTAAAACAATACAGGTCACATTTTAATCATTTATTGTTTCCTGTCTACTTTATATGTATCTCCTATTTTGTGTTTGTCTGTTGCAAAACTTAAAAAAAGTAAATGTTTGTAGTTATTGCCTGTTAAAATGTGAAAAAAGTTCTAAATCTGTACTCATTAGCTTTCCGACGTATTTGCAGATATCCAAATGAATAATAAATGCAGGTGAACTAAGATCCCTGGAGTTTCAGCTGCCTACATTCTGTTTTCACTCACCCTCTCGTCTCAGTGTCTCAGCTGGTTGATCAGCATTAGCCTCAGTGGGGTGAACTCTGAAGTTTCCTGAAAGGATAAAAAGGTACAATAACATTTAGATGGAGAAATAAGTTTCAATAAGTGAGAAATTCAATTCAATCTATGTGTGGTTTCAAAAAACCTACCAAAAGATGGCAGGATGTTGTTGATGTTCAGCCACGCTTTTATGAAGGGGTAGACTGAAATGAGCAAACCTGCAAAGCAGAAAATGGCAATAATGTTTTTGATGAATGGTCTGAAATTGTTTCATAATTTGCAGGTTGCAACTATTTAATTTACTTTAAGAAGTAACCTTATTGCTTTTGATTCCTGGAGGACAGAAGAAAGTCTGAAAAATAGAAGCTGGTCTATTTCACTTTGACACATTATATTTCAATCCCCAAAGTGTAAGCTTTCCCAGTATGATCCTTACAACCAAATACAACATGAGATGCTTTTTCTAGTTCAGATCAAAGTGCAAAGTAGCATCTAAAACGCAGGGTTTTGGCACCTTTCTGTAATCCTGCAATCCCAATCAGTACCTTTATTGATTTTTCTTATTAATCTAAAAAGCTCCCAATGCAGCTTGTCTGCGCTTAAAATGTCATGAAACTGCAGAAGGAGTGAAAACAATCTGCAGAGAACACTCTGTTCATACTCATTAGTCAGCCTGTGTGTCGGAGGCGGCATCGAGCCACACAAGCCCCATAAAACACATAATTAGGATGTCTAATGCTCAGTCGCACAAACTTCTGCGAGAGTGAAAGTATCAGTCACGCTGCGGTGCACAGATTTTTTTTTTGTGAATGCAGGTAGCTGCACGTTAGCGAGACAAATTAATTATTGAAAGCTCAGCGAGAATGAATTTCTCATTAACTATGCATAAACATGCTGATGTTGTCTTCCACAGATCACAACCTTTCCTCTTTCTCTCCAGGAAACCAGTCCAGACGCGCTTTTATCAGAGCAGCTTCTCCTGCTTTCAGCTGGTTCTGGTTACAGTCTTGTATCGAATGAACGTTGGATGGAAGAAGTCGCCAGTTGCAGACCTTAACATTTTACTTTTACATCAATGCATTATGCATATCGGGGGAATTCAGCTAATGTCCTTCCTCCGTATATGTAAAGAATCCTCGTGTGTAATTCAATCTTAGAATAGATACAGCTGTTCTGTAAAGGAGAAATTGAGATAGTTCTTGGATAACATCAGCGAACAAAAGCATCAAGAAGACCCAAGAACACAGCAGACACATCACGGATAATATTATGGAAAAAATTCAAACAAAAGGTTAGGATACAAAATTGCATCTTTGAACATAAAAAAAACACATTATTAGTCAAAGAATCCATAAAAAGGTTTTTATGACTCATGTCAATTATGTAGAGGAAACATTTTGGTCAGATAAGTCAATAGTTTAACTCAAGTCTCTGGTGACTCTGGTCTATAAGTAAAACCAGCTGTGACATCACTGGTCACCCGGAATAAAACATTCTCACAATAAAACATTGTAGTGGCATAATCATGCTGTGGAGATGTTTTATTTATTTTTTAACAGGGTCTTTAAATGAGATGATTACCATGAACATTTGGACAGAGTTTGGATAAAAATAATAATGGCAAAAAAAAAAAACAATTTTATGTTTTATTGACTGAAGCCTTGACAGCATTCATCCAGTTAGTTGGGCTATTTTACAAACAAAACATGAAAACAAATACTACATCTCAAACATGTTAAGCAAGTAAAAAACATTCTAAAAACGTTCAGCAAAAGGTAGTACTGCAAAAGTATTTTACTCAGGAGAAGATATTTTTCAGATTTTTATCTTTTTAAAGGAAATCCTATTTTGAGAAAATACAAGGTCTCCAGTCATTTTAAAACAAACAAAATAATTATTAAGAACTTTCTAAATACTTTTGCAACATCTGCAAATGATAATCTGAAAAGAAAATAACCCAACCAAAGTATTTCCCATTCAGAGTTACAGACTCTCACCAAGGCCTCCAGCTCCCAGGAAAATTCCTCCCACAGCATCAGCATCACATTCCCTGGACACCCCGATGATGATGCAGCCGGCAACAATGCCAAACAGGGCTGAGCCCACTCGTAGCCCATGGTACTGCCCGATGCTAACAGGGTTCATTCAGCAGGTGGAGGTCCCCCACCTGCCACACTCACCCACGCACTCTTTTACAGCCCAGGTAATAACTGGGGAACCAAAATCTGCCTCAGCTCAGGCTCTGACTTCCACCAACAGCCACTCCCATACTTGTGCATCGCTCTGTCTGACACAGAAACACTTTCCCTGGTTTAGACTGCCCTTTGTTTGGTAAGGGATCTCATAAATCTTTAAAGTGGAGATCTGGTTTCTATTGCAAACGGTTGAAGTAGTCCTGACTCGTATGACAGGGAATTCTGCCTTAAATCTGATCACAACCCTCGACCAGAGCATCCGGTATCATGAGCTCCGTTTGTGGAAAAAAAAAAGAAAACAGGAAGGGAGGAGCAGGAGGCACAGAGAAAATGCAACAATTAGTGAGTGAGCCTATGTGTGACTTCTATGAGTTGCTTGTGAGCTTGAAGGGAATGTGTAATGAGAGGTCCAGAATCCTCTGTGGCGGGCCGAGGCCATCCACAAAGGCATGCAGTTGCCATAGGAATAGCATATCCATGGCAACACAGGAAAGAGGAGGGTAAGCAGGATCAACACTTGTTGAACGGGGTAACAAATTAACTTACATGGATGTTAATTTGTTATCATCCCTCCGGTGGAGGAGAAACATCCACACATTTCCTCCGCAGGTCAATTCTCTCTGTCTTCATTCAGATGTCAGGATTCATCATAAATTAAAGTGAGTAAAATGAAACGTAATGTGTGTGTAATACTCACACAGGCATCTCATTATCATCTCAGCCTTTATCGATTGTGACACTTTAAAAATGAGCTTACATGTTCACCTCTTTTGCTTATGTGGACGTAGTACAGAGTTAACAGACGGTGGAACAGCAGGACTCAAGAACAGCAAAAATCCTAATTGAGTTTGATTCAAACTTGCTACAAAACACATGTTTTGTTGTTTTTTTTTATTATTTATATATATTTTTTTATTTTGCTTTTTGCTTAAGTCCCAGGCTAAACGCTTTTACAATGAATTTGTTTTATGAAATGCTTTCTGTTTCTTAAAAAGACTGCGCTTAGATGATAATGAAAACAAAGGTTTAGTTACCTTTTAAAATGTAGCCTGATATGCTATTACAAATATGGAATACTAAATCCAAGTGTAGTTAATAAGTAACTACACACCTGTAGCTACATGTTCAAAAATTCATTACTAATATGTGGAAAACAATGTGACAAAAACGTCTGCGTTGGCCGGGAATCGAACCCGGGTCAACTGCTTGGAAGGCAGCTATGCTAACCACTATACCACCAACGCAACAGATATGTTTAACCCGACATGACGAAATTGAAACAGAACTGTTGTCATTCCCTTTTTCTGTTACAATTCGTCGACTGACACTGGTTTAGCTCCATAGAACAGTGGATAAGACTGAAAATAAATAACCACTGATTATCCACCATCCTGACTGAGCCTACGTTATTTTGCAGAGAAATATTGGTGAAAGTTTTTGTGTCCAAATGTACAAAGCTAACAGACACAAAACCTCTTGTCAAATATAGTTAGGTCAGTGATGTATTTGTACTTTGCATGACAATAACACTCACTTAAAAAGTGAAAAAAGAATTATTTGGCCCGTACGGGGATCGAACCCGCGACCTTGGCGTTATTAGCACCACGCTCTAACCAACTGAGCTAACCGGCCACGCTTATTTCACAACGCACACGCTTCCAAACATGAATGCCGCACGAACGACACCAGGGAACTATGGGGATTTTATCTGGAGTTGTTTATCCTGAAAGCCCCCAGAGATTTTTTACAGTTGGCTAATGAACTGCAGGTACAACAGAAAGCAGTTTATAGTCAAAACGTTGAAATCAATTTTGTACACACGACTCCACCACACGACATTGTAAATGATAAGCTCCATAGTAGCCACTAAAATATCCGATCCACCAAAGTCGTCCTTATATCTCCATTTGGGTCTCATTAACTCCTTCTGAAAACAAAGTGTTCATAGCTGTCAATGGTGCTGAGCTTCGTCACAGCTCGCATGCAGAGGACACGAAGATTATCCTCGATATGGGCTATGCTTCAGGGAAGATGTCGACAGACCTCGTGGCGCAACGGTAGCGCGTCTGACTCCAGATCAGAAGGTTGCGTGTTCAAATCACGTCGGGGTCAGCTTCTATTTTGAAGCAAAATCTTTCTCTTTGGTCAAATATAGTTGTTTAATGCTTTGTTTATTAATCCTCCCTGTAATGCCAGAGGGAGGAAGAGTGTCACAGTAAGCATAAGTTGATGACATTACAAATATGTAAAATATAAAGTGTTAGGAAAAATGGCAAATGCAGAATTCACAACACATACTGCTGAAAATCAGCCAACGGAATGTTTTTAGATATATATATTTATGCAAAAACAGATACGTAATATGAATTGAAATAGTCTCAAAAATATCACAGGGACAGTACTAGACAATTATCAACAAAAGTGCAGAAAGAGCGATTTTCAAAAAGAAGAAGAAAAAAAAGAGGGCTCGTCCGGGATTTGAACCCGGGACCTCTCGCACCCTAAGCGAGAATCATACCCCTAGACCAACGAGCCATGATGCTGTAATGGTATTCAGTATCACCACACAACTGTTGACAGGAGAATGAACTGGGTTATGTGCTTTTTGTCTGTATATTTGCTGTCAAATATTTTATCACAGTTTTTCTCAACCTTCTTCGAGCCAGCGCCCCCTCTCCATTATACAGGTCCCTCACCACCCCTCACCAAAGAAAATATAGGTTACTTTGCATTGAATATTATTTTATTACTGATATTACTGTCACCATTGTTGATGTTTTGATTTTTATGTTTGTTTTTGTATTAATCATCAAAATTTTCCAGAAAACACATTTTTACAGTTGTCTACGAAAAATGCAGTGGACATCCATAAAATCAGTAGGCCTGACAGAGGTCAATCAGAGTGAAAAAAAATATTCCTGTTCTGTGCCATTTCACCCATATGTTTTCAGAGTTTTCAGTGGAAACAAAAGTTCCAGATCATTTTAATGCCATATAAATACGTGACAGGAACATGAATTATATCTTTTTTGTTTGTTTGTTTATTCTTGCCGTATAGTCCTCTGTGCAGGATCAAGGTTTATGACTTTTTTGTTTGTTTATTCATTCTTGCCACATAGTCCTTTGTATTAATTAGTGCTCCTCTGTATTTGATTTAGTTTCTTAGTTTAGTCTTTTGTTCATCATTCATTTCCATTTAGTTTTCTTTGATTAGCATTATCCTCTCTTGGCTTATTGTTATGTCCTCTTTAGTTTCTTCCATCGTTTATTGACGCTCACCACTAGTAATCTTCACTCATCATGCTATTCACCTACATAATTGACAAGGAATCCCAGAGCCCCCATTTGGTAAAGATTTCCGCCTGCTGTTCTCTGAACGTCTGTTGAGAAACGTTACTTTATCAGAAAGATGTGGTACTCTCCCTGTGATGCAGTGAACCTCCAGTTCAGTGGTGCTCGTCACCATTTGGTTGTAACAGTCCGTCAAAGGGAAGACGTAGATTATCAAGTTTAATCAAATCTGAGTTCATAGAAAATAAAGCCACATGTAAGCAACTAGCCTCACAGATAATTAGAAAACTCTTTAAAATAGCTTACAACAATGAACAAAACGTATTGAATTACCAATAAAATCGGAAAATTAGAACTCTCGGCTGTGATAACTTGTGAAACATGATTTGTTTTGGTTGGAGCTTCACTTTATATACTATCAGAAAACAGAAAGCAAATTCACGTATCAAAATATGTGCTGCTTTTACTCCATAAAGTTACTCTGTAATGAGATCCAGTTGTCCAGCTGCTTCCGCCTCACCCGGGCTTGCTAACACCTCTCTGACACAATTTGCATCAACAGCAAGGGCCCTGCTGTGCTGGTATAACCTGTAAGGTGAGTTACACCTCTAGAGAGCCCTATCTAACAATTTATCACATGGGTGATAAACTATAAGAAAGTGAAACTACCAGGAAATAATCAGGTTTCTGTTATATTATAGAAGCACTAATAACACTACTAATATCTGGTATATGGAGTGGTGGGCACAATTGTGGTGAGTTCACAATGTAAAAACCAAACACACAAACAAAATCTTAGCAACACATACCAAAATAGAAATATGAAGATGAACATGTTTTAGATAGAATGTGAAATACTTGTATACAGAACAATAAAAGTGGTAAAATAAAAGTTACAGCCAGACTTAGTAAATATTTTTTAGAGTTTAGTAAAATAATAAAAAAAAAATTCTTACATTTATTATTATTATTATTATTATTATTATTATTATTATTATTATTATTATTATTATTATTATTATTATTATTATTTCTGAATGTGACACATTTAGGGAGTAATCATTACCACTTCGTACTAGTCAGCAAATCTGTCCACTGCATACGGGTTTATGTGTATTGTCATGTGACCCAGACTCAGCCATCTTGTGGAAAACGAAGAGAGAGAGCCACTCAACAACACGCATACAAACCCTGAGCTGTCACAGCCACCAGAGGTAAGACAGCCAAAGTTTCATACACCAGCCAGGAATATTTATACATTTGACTTAAGTCCCATATGAAAGAGGCATGTTCTCACGGCCGGGGGTGCCGTTTAAGCTACCATGTTGACTTGGCTTTGCAGCATCGAGATAGAGTGTGTTGGCGTTCGGGTTGGGTCGCGCTGGGTCCGGTACAGCTTGACGAAGAAACACCGCTGTGAAACCAGGCTGCTCGGGAGGGCCGCGTGCAGCTACAAGCTACAAGCTTCTGCTGTTAAATATATAAATTAACCTCCAGTTCAGTGGTGCTCGTGCGAAATATATCAAACACATAAAAATAACATTGAAATAATTATCAACGTATGAATACAATCGTATACTTTGCCACCCTTGGGCTAAAGAACCTTAAGCTAACGTGCTAACACAACTGGCTCTCGTGTTGGTTGGAAAAATACATTGAGGTAACAGCATGCAGCTAAAGAGTACTTTAACTTCGAGTGCGCGGCTAAGCTACAGTTTATACATTATTGTACGCTCAGTTCACATAACAACGTGATTGACGTCGAATAAAGTTTTCTGTTGA